TTCGCCTGAAGTTTCAATGAACATCTGAACAGCTTAAGTCTGCGTACCTTGATTTGCAATACTTTCATAGAAGGTCATCCAAATTTCCTGCAGAACATCTTTATTTGTTGTTGGAATGATTTACTCCCTTTTGTATCGCCATAATTCTTCCTGTACAGTATTTTGGGTCAGCAGCTTTCATTTAAGCGTAAACATCGTGGTGTTCCAGTTCAGGGTCCCTGGTCACGTATATCGAAAACTTCGCATCTAAAGTTGAAGCGTGAAGTCTCTCGGACAGGAAAAAGGTTCAAGATTGCGATTACCGTAAAATTCCGAAAATAAGCCCCTCCATGTATAAGCTCCTCCAAATATAAGTCCCCCAAACCGGTGACGCAAAAAAACCCTCTGTTAAATCGCCCCTCCAAATATAAGCCCCCTGGGGGCTTGTACTTGGAAAATTGCCCTCAAATACAAAGTAAAACAACACAAAAACGGTAAATTTACTTCCAACTATAAGGCTAGCCCAATCGATTTGTAAACGCAAATTTTCCTCCGTAGATAAGCCCCTCCGAATATAAGCCCCTCAAAAAGGGCCTTTGAAAAATATAAGCCCCGGGGCTTGTTTTCGGAATTTTACCGTATGTTTTCGGGTCGTCGACGCCGTTCCAGAGAAGAAAGGAATGGATTTGTGAAAGCAGGTGTCGTCAAGTAAGTGTTCGTTTACATGTATTTGCGGGAATTTTTTGCCCTTAAACCCTTCCACGACTACAGTTTATGCTCGGTCTGCATTTTACTCTAGCCTGCGTTTTACTCTTAGTCTGCAGTCTGCATTTTACACTCAGTCTGCATTTTACCCCTGGTCCGCAGTCTGCAGTCCGCAGTCCGCAGTCTGCGTTTTACACTGACCGATTTCGTTTTCTGCTTGTGTCCCATGCTGATATGACGTCATCGATAAACCTTTTCCAAAAGATGGGCTTAATGCTCCTCTGTCTGAGTATTTCTTTTTCTATTTTGGCCATGAAGATGTTAGCAAAGGCTTCGGCCATTTTCGTGACCATGGCTGTTCCATGGGTTTGAAGATAATCTTTCTCGTTAAATTGGAACGAGCTTTCTAGTAGTATCAGACTAAGCATTTCGCTTAAAAACCTGGTAGGGACTGGAGGATTTCCTTGGTGAAATTCTTCGTATGCAAGGCATACAGTGGTAGTACCCTCTCGTTGTGGTTTTTTTTCGTATAGGCTTGTGACTTTCATTGAAACATGTATGGCACTTTTAGGCAGTTTAATCCTCTCGATGAAGTAAATAATTTAAAGTCTGTCGTATCTTTAAGATACGAAGCTTGTAGTTGTGCTATTGGCTGAATAAGGTGGTCAACAAATGCTGAGATCCGTTCTGTAGGTCCGGAACACCCTGCGATATAATAGGTTCGTTAGTGTGTAAAACACGGGGATTCGCAGAGGATCGGGCGTAAGGAAGAGCCATTTAGCCGTCGTAATATCAGTGTGGCCTTCTGAGAGCAGTGTTTTAATAAGTTGTTGAGCTTTTTTGGTTGTAGTTTCAACCATTGGTTTGTCTCGATGTCGGTAGTTACTTAAATCATCAAGCAGGACCTGACCTTCCTTTAGTTTGTCCTGTCTGCTCATCAGTACGGTGGTGTTTACCTTTATTAGATTTCTTAAGAATAATGCTTTTGTTGCGCGATAACTCTTTGAGAGCTTGGCGCTCTCCCGTAGATATATTATCTTTTGGCTTGTCAAATTCAATACTTGCGAGCTCTAATTTTACCTCCTCTAGGAAGGTCTCCAGAGCTACAGATAGCTGGACTGGTGGTTTCCAGTCCGACTTCACGTGGAAAGGATGAGGTTCGTTTTCTTTCCCGTGAAAAATATATTGTAGTCGCATTCGTCTCGCAGATTGATTGAAATCCGCGAGAAGCCGGCGCCTGATAAGATTTTCTTTTGTCACGGGTGTAGGAATAAACTTTAGACCACGCGATAGTAGAGTAATTTGCTTATCTGTCAGTTGTTCATTTGACAGGTTTTTGATATACTGTTTGCGTGACTCAACGGCGCGCTTTTTGTCTTTGATTTTTCTCCGCTCTTTTCTTTTGCGGTTTTTGGCCGCTTTGTTATCTCTGCGGTTTGCTTTCCCTTTTCCCCTTACTTCTAAGGAGTCTGATAAGAGACAAGAGTAAGATTCACTTTGTTTATTCGCATACACTGTTCTAACAATACATCGACTTCGCTAATAATCTTGGTCTTCAATTACATTGTCATCTTTGTTGACAGTGTTCTTTCTAGCCGGTGATTGCGTTTTCTGGTGAGACGTTTGCTTAGTATTCCCATATTATTCCTTACAGTGTTCCTGCGAGATTTATACTTGTTTTTTAATCGTTCTGCGCGCCTGTGGTGATATTTCACCAGCGCTTCTACGAGAGCCTGTTCTGCTTTCTTTCTGATCGAGCCTATCTCGTTCTTAAATCGCTGCCTCAGTTTTTCGTCAGGTGTTGACACGTTTGAGATGTGTTCGAGATGTGTTAACTCCATGTGCTGCTTGAATGATTCTTCTGACAATTTCTTCGATTCCTTCCTTCGCCATGTCTAACGCGGTAGGACGGGAATGGGCAAGAATGGGTGGGATTCTTCATGGGGCAGTCCATGGAGCATGGCAGAGTTTTCGGTTTCAGTCCCCCTCGGAAACAGAACTGATCAAAAATTGTCGTCTCCCTTCTTGAATTAAAAAACATACATCTTGATTTAGAATACGTGTCTCTTGATACATGACATGAAACACGCGCGAATTGAAATTAAATTCTAAAATCTTGACACATTCAAAAAGCAAATTGATGTTAATTTTATCGATCTTGATAGTGAATTGGTGGATTTGAATTATAAAGTTGCATCTTTGATATTTTGTCACTTTTGGCGTAGCAAAACCTTAAGTTTTAAGCCGCCTTCGCCGTGTTTGCTATTTTGCAAGATGAACTCCAGGCAAGAATATCGCTAAAAGTTTTCTTTTTACAAACAATAGGATAACTAAACTATTTTTCAGAACTTTTTCTTCTAGTTGCGGTCAGAAAATGTCCAAAGACTTTTTAAGTTCTTTACTAGGTCAGATAAATTGATTCAAACCTTACAAATGTGCGTAAAATGACGGCATAAACATGAAAAAAGAAAACAAATAAAATGTAATAAAATTACTCAAGCTTACCGGTCGAGATGCAGCACGGAAACCCATCAAGTAAGGCGAGAATCGCTTAAGAGTTTTCGCATGGTCCAGCAAGGCGAAGTAAGCTTACTAAGAGTAGCTTATCTTTGAAAACGATGATTCCCGATTTCTTTTTGTCGTGCGGCGCATTTCTCAACCACAACCCAGTAAACAAAAGCCAGCCAAGAATAACAAAAGAATGTTGATAGCTGCTGTATTTCATTTTGTAGATCCAGTGCAAAAAGACAGGTAAAAACATCAAAAGATGACTCAAAACTCTGTCAGCTTCAGCTATCAGTGAACAAGTCGCAGATGCTGCATAAATTTTCCACTTGAATCCTCTTCGCTAGCGCGCCTGTTAATTCTTACTCTATGCCTTTCTCTTCTTCTCTTTCCCGTCGCTTTTCACTTACAAGAAAATAGTTTGAATCCAATCCGCTATTGTTTGTTGCCATAACAATTTCTTCAAAACAGTTTACTAGAAACTGAGATCTCCGGACACAAAATCCTTATGCAATGAAGGAGATCCGTTGAAGTACGTTTGAACGCGACGACAGCCACGTCATTTCTTGCGCGATTTCCCGCCAAGAAACAGGTGGGTTGCACAAATGCATCGCGCGATTTATAACATACTCCTCCCCCGGACGGGCTGACACCTGATTCCCTTCCCTCCCCCGCAAAGAGTGTACGGGCGTACGCTACGTCATAACCAAATTTTCTCAGATGGATGGTTTACCAAATTTTATTACCCATGGTGCTCCGCTGGCGCGCTTCGCGCGCGGGAGCTCCGCTAATAGCGTAGCGCGAATGCATGACGTCAAAGTGACTAATTTGTAATTTTTGTCTGAGTTTTGTCATTTTTCTTATGTTAATGACAAAAGACAGACAAACATGACATTTTAAGGACAAAAGTCAGATAAAAGTGAGTAATTTGCTAATGTTAATTTCAGTTTCGGGTCTATAAATAGTAACCGCGCGCAGCGCTATTAAAACCCGCGCCGTCATGCGAGTTGCCGCTGACCCCCCACAAAACTGTGTTCAGCTACCTTAACCAGGGAGGCTAGCATCCTGATTTTATGTTGAAATCATCTCATGAAGTGGAGGGTCTCAATGGGGTTAACCGTTAGGCGTAAAAAGGCCAAAAATTTACTTCACTCGATAGCCGTAAAAATAGAAAAATTTTAACCGTTAGCCGCAAATAGGGTAAAAAGCGTTAACGGCAGAAAGAAATTGTTCCCTAGATTTTTTTTGATTTTAAGGAATGTGCTAAACTCACTTATATGACCTGTTGTGTTTCTTATTTCGCGGATACTTTGACTCCTTATACACGTTAGCCTGCCAGGCGTTCAGATAGTAGAGTGTACAGTCAAACCCCGCCGAAACTCGGGTTTGAGGACACCCGCTTAATAGTTAATACGGACAGCTCTTTGTTAAGGACAGATCGCTTTGTCCCTGGGGAAAGAAAGCCCTTACATTTTCTCTGAATTCATCCCGAGATGATCCTAAGATGTTTATATTGCTTTAAAGATTATAATAGAGTTTTATTAACATTTAAAGTATGGACAGCGATACGAACTCATACCAGTTCTAATTCGTCCCGGTCTCACGTAATTACCCCCTTAGATACCTTCTAGCAGTAAACTGACACTCGTTATGCCCTTACCTTGTCCTTAATATAGCTACTATTAAATTGTTTACAGCTTTTGTAATCATATTCGTGTTTATAAGAGCTTGCACAAATGATACTCTTGCCAGACCTTGATTTCCGTTCGCGAAGCAAACTGGACACAGCGAATCACTAAACTCAAAGCACAATGGAAGAGGGATCCAAATCACGTTTTACCAAGTTCTCCAAAAGAGAATCATTGGTGATCTTTGCTATGTCGTTGTTTCTCTTTGGGTTGATGTTTGTGAGGATAGAGGTTGTACATAGGAAGGCAGAGGTGATGGAAGCAAAACTTGAAAAGCGAATTCAGCGAATCGAAGACGAAATGCAAATGAAAGTACAGACTATTGTGAAGGAGATGTTACTGACAGAGGAAAGAACTACGACAGGACATTCAAGAGTTTATGCAAGCATGGGTAATAATAATAATAATAATAATAATAATAATAATAATAATAATAATAATCTTTATTGAGATGACTTTTTCATATAAAATATGGTTTTCAAAAAGGATCTTATAAAATTTAAAAAAAAAATTACAAAATACACACAATTCGCCAAGACATTAAAAATCTAAAATATGTAAAAACTATTAAAATGTACAAGATATTAACTCCAATTCATTTAAATTACAAATTTAAAAAGATTACGTTACGGGTAAGTCTAGAACTACTGTTTTTGAATATACAGGACGTAGCACAAGCGCTCAGGAGCACTTACGATCAGCATTAACCGCTTGACACATTATGATCTCTATTAATCTTAAATGTCTACCAAAAAATAATTCGCCCAAAGATCGCTTTAAACCATTTACTAAGTATCATGGGGAATTGTTTATTGTTGCCGAGGAGAAAAATCACACATCCTTTTAAATTAGGTCAACGACTAGCGTTTTCATGCATGAGGTTTAATGCAGTGGTATGTCCAATGTACTAGCTTCAGCTGTGTTTGTATAAAATTTAAATAAAAGTTTCCTAAAGCTTCAGTCAACTTGGTATATCATACGCCCCTCATCTTCATCTCTAAAAGTATGTTTATCTAAAATGATTGTGTTTGTATGCACGGCGTTAAAACTTAGTCTGTGGGCAAGGACAGATGTCCGAATTAACTGTTTTTTTTTTTTTTTTACCGCAATGGTCATCAGAGGTCGCGTGAAATCTGACGGTCAGACGGTGAATTCCTTTTTTTTTCTTTTTAAACAGATTTTCAAGAAACCGTAGAAAGCGTTCCAGGTCAGCATCTACGAGAAAGACGAAAAATAGCCCCGACAGCTGGTGCATTATCTTTACACCAAATTCGCCAGGAAATCGACAAGAAATTCGCACAAGTGTGTAGCACAGCTGATAAGCTCTGTCAAACAGGTCAACAGGGACCTAAGGGAGAAAAACGTGCCCTTGGATACCCTGGATACAAGGGAGAAAAAGGAGCTCCTGGGAAGAGCGGCCCTCGTGGTCCTGAAGGCCTCACGGGAACTCAAGGTATCAGGGGAAAACAAGGGCCTACAGGGTTGCAGGGATCCAAGGGAGAGAAAGGTAAAGTAGGAGTTGTTGGTTCTCGTGGAGCAAAAGGAGATACTGGACTTATGGGCCCACCAGGCGAAAAAGGCTCTATTGGATTTCCAGGAAACAAAGGAAACAGGGGCGTTACTGGTATTCAAGGACCAAAAGGCGAATGTGTTGTTCCTCCCAAAATATTTGTTTCGCCAGAATCTCAGTATCTGTTTCTAAACAAGCCGGCAACGTTTTATTGTTGGGTTCAAGGTCAATCGTTTAAGAAAATAACCTGGCGCAAGTTGGAAGGTAACTTGCTCCGTGACATAAGTACGACAGATGGAATTCTTCATATCAATAATGTCCAAAGATCACACGCTGGATCATACTTATGTACAGTCGTCACTAGTTATGGAATATTCCAAGCAGTCACCACTCTAGGAATAAAAGGTAAGACACCTCTCCTTCCATGGCTTTATTGAGGGGCAGTAATTATTTTATGGTACAACACAGAGAGTTATAAATGTCTTTTTCCTATATTCTTATAATACTGTATAATTCAATTTAAGATACAATTCCAATCAAAATTTGTTTTTTGGAGTTGAATTCTAATGACTGGATTATAATGCAATTGTCTGGATCGTCTCCATTTCTCGGGGCCATCCTCGATTTCTTTGCTTGTCTCCGTCGTCCTATTCGGTTTTTTCTTCTCAGCCGTTTTTTGAGTTGATCGTCACAAAATACGTTGCGTAAGAGACTGCCGTCTTTCGGATCGGATCGCGACATAGAGGTGTTTGAATTGGAAACGGCTTAGGCGGTCAAGACGATAGACCAGGATTTACGGACTGCATCTAGCTTAGATAGGGAAAGAAAAATTTCTGGGTGATGTCGTTGCCTCGCAGTGATGGCAAAGAAATGCAGTTGAAAAAATAGAACGCACGTGCAAAATTGTTGTTTTGCGTTTGTTTCTGACGCGGTTCTCCACAGATACCCCAAGCTCACGAGTGACAATCGTTGTTGCGTTACAGAAATATTATAAGGGTTTGTACGGTGATTTAAGCGATCGTTATTCCGGTGTAAAAAATAACAATATAAATACATCAGAAATTCTTACCTTTTCTCCTTGTCTAAATTTATGGTGTTTTCTTAGCATTTTTGGCAGTTTCTGGGCGATTCCAGGGAGTTTTAGTTCTGCTGTTGTTCGTTACACAAGTATATAACTTCATGCAAACCTTCGTAATATTTCTGTTACGCTCACTTGTGAGCTTAAGGTACCTGTGGGTTCTCTTTACTACTTATTGTTTTGGCAGAGATTGTCATTTAATACTAAGATATATCAGATACATCTCTATCAGATCTTAATACACTGAAACCTAAAAAAAAAATCCTCATTATTTCTTTCGCTGATGCAGCATCACCGATATTTACAAGAAAGCCTCCACCTCAAGTTTTTGCGGCCATAGGATCCACCGTGAAGCTCTGTTGTGAGGCAGATGGTCACGTGGTGTGGTCACGATCAGGAACAGCTCTTGCTTTGCTCCCATATTTCCAGCAGGATGGATGCCTCTCCATAGGAAACGTGAATGAAGAGAAGGCTGGGGAATACACTTGTCGTGCAACCAACCAATTTGGAATATCGGAAGTAACGTCTGAAGTAGTTTTTACAGGTGATGTTATTTGTCATAGACGTAATTTTTTTAACGTCCTGACTCTGTCTAATGTCATTTAAAAAAAAAAAACATGATGGCAAAGACTTCTGCATGAAGCAAAAAACGCAAGGCCATCACGACTGATCACCGAATCTTCATTGCAAGAATCGTTCTGAGTCGGGGCTCTTTATTATTGTTTACGTCATAATATTCTGTTTCTTTTAAAATAGCCACTAACGTCATAAGTGAGTTTTCTTCAAGTTTTATGTCCACAAATGAGTACTCTTTCAGCAACAAAAATACATATAAAGTGAACTGATTAAGGTATAATAGTTGTGGTAGAGGCAAAGAATTAACCTTTTCTTTCAATTGTGGGTTTAATTAACAATTTGGGTGGCATAAATTAACGCCGATGACGTTATGCATCTCATTAAGAAAGGATGATGTCATAGTTTATTTTCAGTTAGCATGGAGCAAGTGACGTCAGAATACCCTAGGGTGACGTCATCAAAAAATGTTGAGATCATAATCTATAAATGGAAAATGATATCATGTCCCTGTTTGCTCATGATGATGTCATAATTTATCCAGGTATGATGATGCAATAGTTAATTTTAAGTTGCAATGAAATCTTCTCAAAATTTAACTTTTCCGATAATTATTTTGTCAAGTGCGCGTACATTTCTCAACCAAAAGACGATAAAAATGTGTAAAAAAGGTAGATTGCTTTTTAAGTCACAGTCCTTAATTAAATCATCCATTTATCTCATAGTACTCAAAAGTGCGAAAAAGAGGGTTAGGCGAATGCGATTTCGTACTGATTTTTCGTGCAAAACATGAAAACGAGGTCAGAGCGCTTGGTAACTGAAAATAAACTATGACATCATCCTTTCTTAATGAGGTGCATGACGTCTTCGGCGTTAATATATGTCACTCAAAAAGTTAATCAAATCCACAAAGAAAAGGTCAATTCTGTGCCTATACCGCTACTTATAATCGGGTGATAATAAGCAAAAATTAACCAACACTTACATAATTACAATGTTTTTCCAACTAAAGGCATGTTCTGCATGTTGTCAGCCTGAAAAACTACCCCACCTCGAACTCACAAAAAAATTTTTGACGATGGCTCAATCACTCTTATATTGATTTTTATTTTAAGTGGCTAATGGAAGCATTTTTGTGTCGACTTATTTCAACATATGTTCGCTCCGCAGTCGTTTAATGCCGTACCAGATTCGTGCCACCTTGATAAGAAGGAAATGATTGAAGAATCATCGTAGTTCATGGAAAATATATTCATTTGGTGTATGTTACTGAAACACCCACAATAAACAAATTGAATAGAAAACAGAAAAATATTCCAAGAAAAAAACAAAATATTTTTAAAAAGAATAACGAATGTTTAACTTGGGTGAATAACCAGCGAAAGGTCTTAGTTAAGGTTAACATATGCAGTAGGGAGGTGGATGGAGGTTTGTACACAAAGAGTAGCTGAGAAACAGTAAATGTGTCCTAAGCCACTTTTCAGAGTGCATGTTATTGTTCAGTTCTGTTTTGGCGGTCTTCTTATTTTTAATCATGTTTTTTCGCTTAAACAAAAACTGCCTCATGAAGGCGGTGTAATTGAAATGACCTTCTAGATAGTTTTGTATTATTTATCTTTCAGGGTGTACAGGTCAATCCTTCCAGGTACAATTTAACTTTTTATACAGTATATTTATATCTAGAATAATTATAATTTACATTTTAGAAAAACTTATAAATCTTCCATGGAGGCTTTCAAAAGAGTGAATTTTTTTTTGCAACCACGTCAACTTCATACGAAAACTGTTACTTTCATAATGTATAGATTTAGCATGGGAAAGAGCGCAGCGAAGCTCCAGTTAATATACTTATAAACAAAAAAAGAAAATGGTGTAATGCTTAAGGTACGGAAAAACGGGCAACAAAAAAAGTGCAGCTGGTCTTGCAACATTGCTGCAAAACGAGTTGAATAGCAGCTAATACCGATGATGGGCTTTTTACCACCCACGTTCAAACCTGTCAACAACCTGATTTGTTGCATGTCAGGTTTGATGTGGGTGGTAAAACGCGCAACATCGCTATTCAACTCGTTTTGCTACAATGTTGCAAGACAAGTTGCACGTTTTTTGTTGCTCGTTTTTCCGTACCTTTAGGTGATGTTAGACAAGACGATTCGCAACGACGATTTTTAGCGCAACACAGCGTTGCAACATTGTTGCGATGTTGTTTCGAATTGTTACAACATTGTACCAACATTGCAACGTTGTGTTGCCCTAAAAATTGTCGTTGCAAATCGTCTCGTGGGCGACGGCAATGAGAACAGCATCAAAATCAACAGATCTAATGAGCAAAAAAAATACAAATTTGCATGTGCGGCGCACTTTTTTGTACATTTCTTTGCGGTTGTTTTGCACGACTAAAACGTGAAACTCCTTTGTTACACATCATTTTTTCGAGGAATTGTCGTATATGTGATCACCAAAAATTTTGTTGCTTGTGCTCCTGTTCGCTTTGTTTTCACTGCCGCTCATTTTTCACCTCGCTGGCCGCCAGTATTTCTCATTTTCTCACTGCCGCTTTGGAATTGTCATATTTTTCTTCCAACGAAATTCGTCTCCTTTGTTTTCAATCACTCACTTTAGCTTTTTCTCTGTTATCCACCTGAGTGTAGCCGTCATGTTGAAACACAGACCATGCAGACTGCAGACTGTGCAGACCGTGCAGACTGTGCAGACTGTGCAGACTGAGTGTTATTTTTTTGCTTGTACCTTAATTTTCTAGTAAAATTTTTACTATAGCTTACTGCTTCCTCTCATTATGTGCACTGTGCACCACCATCGTAAGTGCACTGATGTGTACCTGCAAGGGTCATGGGTAGGAAATGAGAAAATCACGGGCTCATGTTTACTGGCAGATGTAAAAGCAGTTTCGCGTGCTTTTAGCTGCGCCGCGTTCACGCAGGAGCGAAGGACACTCTTGAGAATCGAATAAAGAATCGAATAAAAAAAATACATAAACAAAAGTCTTACCCGAATCTTCCCAGCTAACAACGATGACGTCGGTATCTGTAAGATTTGCAAGTCACCGGTTTGAATTACAGAGTGAAACCAAAAACGATCATCAACAATCAAGGAAATTGAGGAAATGTCTCTCTCTTAGCCGTTGTAGGAAGCCGAAAAGGGTTTTATTTTAAGTCACTTAACCTGAAAGAGCTTCTTAATTCTACTAAAAAAATGAATAATCGTGGCAATATAATGCAGTTACAGAAAGAAACAGCTTACCTTCCTCCATCGTGCTCACTCCTTCGGGAAACTACAGTAAAGATTTTACTAGAAAATTAAGGTACAAGTAAAAAAAAAAAAATAATAACACTCAGTCTGCACAGTCTGCACAGTCTGCACGGTCTGCAGTCTGCAGTCTGCAGTCTGGATGGTCTGCGTTTCAACCGGAGTGTAGACATCAAAAATAACGTCGAAAAAGACTCGACATTGTTTTTGTTTTTTTTCCTCTCTAAACTCCGGGTGGTCATGCGATTTCCTGCCAAATAAAACCCTGAGTTGCATTTCGGCTGCCATACCTGTTGATTGAGTTATTTTACATTGGTGTACCTGTGGTGCGGACGGACGGGCGGGCGGACAAACGGTCACGTGACTAATTAGTCAAAACTTTTTGATTTTTTTTCCCTGACAGGGCCGTGAGCTCTTTAAGAAAGCGCAAGGAATTTACATTAATCAGGGAGTCTAAAAATGCTAGATAATACTGCACTGTTTAGTGTTTAACAGTCCAGAATATCCCTAAATTTAAGGACAGGGCCAGGGACGGGTCACGCGACACTTTTCAACCAATGAGAAGGCGCGCTTGTGTTAATCAAAGCATCGCCCCAGTGATGAAAAATTTTCACAACAGCGGACGGAGTCGCACAGATTTTAAGATGAGCTTACAGTACTCGTCTAGGTTTCACAATTAATATTTCAAATAAAACATTTCATGTAAGAAAATAAGAGTCTTATTCATTGCAAGGAATCATTGGGGTGTTCGAACTGATTCCGGACCGATCGCAGAGGTCGTGCGGCTTCACTGGCATGGATCGCAAGATTTTTGATAGAGGCAATCTGGTCCCGTGTAAAAATAGCCTTAGAGAGAGTGTGAAAATTTGATGAGATCGTACCAAACAGAATTGGTACTACATATTAACTTCTACATAGCAAGAATCAGAGAACCAGTCAACATAACGAGAATAAAAGGTAGTTCAAATTTATTAATTTTTCTCGTTTGTTTTTTGGCGTTGTTTCGTGTTGACTTCACGCATCTGGTGCTTTCTTTGCTTGCCAGTCGTACCTGCAATGTTTTAATTTTATCCCAGATAATCAGTGCATGTTCAATGAGTAGCGAAATACACTATTTACAGTTGAAAGTTTCCTTTTTTCTTTAATTTTTTAAACTGTGAATGAACATTTGGAGAATTCAACAACAATAAATCTCTCCAGATTTGGCAAATTTCAGAAACAAAGCGGTTAGTATCTACCTTGCGCTTATGATCTTCAATTTTATTCCCGCAAATTCGGCAAAGTGAGGCGAGATGTTGGACGTGGATATCCATAAGAGTAATAAAGTTGTTGGCCTTGAAAAGAAAAAAGACAAAGGCTTGCACTGAATGCGAAAAAAAGTAATAACAGTCGGCTCTGTGAGAAACCCGAGAGGGATAAAAAGTACGTGCTTTGGACCTCAGGATCCAAAAATTGTCTACCAAAATTCTAGGTTGTCTACCATCCCCATACATTCAACATGGTAAAAGTTAATCAATATGACAATCGAGGAAAAATATCTAGAACTTCGTAAAAAATCTGTGAATCGAAAAAAAAAATAGATACTTGTTCACGTTCCTTGAAAACCGACCAAAATCACGCCTACGTCGCGTGTTTAAAAGTAGAAATAAGCCACAAAATGTGCTGAATATTTCACGAGACTTAACAAAAATTGTGTATGCCTCATGAAAAGTCTTAAAAATATGCCTGAGAGCCTCGAAACCGTGACTGTGGTCGTTTAGGTAATCTATACACCATTTTACTCGGGAACAATGACGTCACAGCTGTCCTTGAATTTAGGGATATTCCGGACTGTTTAAACATTATATAAAAGATACTAAAAAAAAAAAGAAGAAGAAGAAAAACAACAACAACAACAACAACAAAAAAACAGCTAGAACATTGTATTGCTATCAAAATTTTAGTGTTTAGTGTTCAACCGCCAAGTTAAAGCTGGAATCCTTCGTGGAATAGGTTTCTTGTGAATCATATCGCGGTGCCTTTACTAAACACAGTTTATTTGTGAAACCATATTTTCCTCATTGCAATTTATTCAGAATTTTTCTCTGTCCTGATTGGCCTCATTCCCCGACTAATTGTTCTTAACCGGCTATCGCTGATCAAAATTTAGAAGACGTTTGCGTGATTCGGACGTCAATAGTACTGCTATTTCCCGAAAAAGAGATAGCATAAGACGCCTAAGGGACCAGGTTGCGTAAGCTCAGTTGTTTTGTAAATAGTTAAAGGAAATGGCGGACAATTTAACACATAGTCGAGCTAAAAACATAGCAAGAACAGACAACTCAACGGATATCAACTGCTATTTTTGGAATATCATGCTACACTAAATATTCCTTTATATCCTGAATTTCCCGAGAATATGTTCTAAAGTATGAAATGTTTTGAATGAATGATGAAACAATTAATATTGGATTTGGCTTTCTTATATGGGTCTCTTACGATCTGAAGATTTATGCAGATCTCGGAGGATGTTATCTGCCAAGGCCGAAGGCATAATTCTTTACATCATGTTCAGTCACATCTAATAGCTGTTAACTTTTGAGGTGATTATCTGTTGGTTTGCAGTCATGATATCAAATTATCAGGTGATTCTCTCAAAGTTCTTATTTCCCTACTGCACGGTTTTGAGAGTTCTTCCTTTTGATCAGGATATTTATGTCATTTTCTTCCCTTTTAGAGCCACTGTCAATCGGGCTGGTTATTGATTGCTCGGTTCTCCAATAATGACGGCAAAAATTGGATGAAAAACAGTGGGGACTGGTGGTATGACCAACGAAATGCTGCTGGAACAACAAGTAATCCGTCAGTTAACGCTGACATGATCTCATCATCATTTTGGCAAGTCAAAGGGGGGGAGTTTAAAATCACGCGCTGTGATGACTCCAGTCACACGCCCCTGTTGCAGACCACAGGGAACTGTTTGGGTGGACAAACATTTCGATCAAAAATCACAAGTTATGGCGACTTCAGAAACGGCAAGGTTTGGTCCAGTAACAGGTGCCTGGGAAGCTGCACGGTTCAATATGGCGGACAGTACAAGACAACAGACGGGTTTCAACAGGCTGAGTGTAGTGGCAACATCCAAAGTAGCAACAAGATAGGCTTCTGGTGTGACTGGGGTGGTGGTGATGGATCGGTGATTATGATTGGTGGAGGAGGAAGTGGCTGTAATCGTGCTGATCATGGGATTGGAATCACAGAAACAGGGGCTGCTTGTTTTGTTGAAGCTGGCAGCACTGAAACTGAATATGACTTTGGATATGACGCTGTGACAGGGACACTTCGATCCCACAGCTACTCATTAAACCTGTGGATCCGCTGATTGACAGTAATCTTAAGTTTCTTGTTCATAAAAGCTTCTCGGCCNGGGTGGTGGTGATGGATCAGTGATGATGATTGGTGGAGGAGGAAAGTACTGTAACCGTGCTGATCACGGGATTGGAATAACAGAAACTGACGCTGCTTCCTTTGTTGAAATGGGCGGGAGTGCAACTAAATATGACTTTGGATATGAAGCTAATACGGGGACTGCTCCAACCCAGTCCTACTCACTGAACTTGTGGATCCGCTAATTGACAGTGATCTTGAGTTACTTGTTCATAAAAGGCACATCTTTGTTAAGATACAAAATACGGCTAAATGCAAGAGGGTAACAACAACTCACCATATAAATGGTGAGGTGCCGCTTTCATAATCACGTCGCGAAATAAATGACAATAAAATAAATAATAATAAATATAAAACTTATATTGCGCATATACAATAGAAATATTTCATATGCGCATAACAGACAATAAGATAAGAAGAAGTCGGATTAAAAGCTATCATAAAAATGTAAGTCGATAAATTGACAATAATTATTCACTTTTGATTGTGCCAAGTCAACATGTTTATTTCTGATAAGATCAATTTAGGAACCCTTGGCCGCGCTGAAAAGTGGGGGCTACACAGGTAATTCTGAACATGCATATGGAGACGTCGTGCAAAAAGAGAAAATCCCATTTTAAATTAATTTTTAAAAGTATTTAACAATTAATACCTGGTTACGCCTAGATGTGCTGTGTGCAAAAAGCAGAGTTTTGTACGCTATATGAAAGGCATTCACTGGCTCTACTAGCACTATTTAGTTTTATTTCGAACAAAATTGACCCGTTTTTTATGGTAACGACAGGAAGTCCGGCTCCCGTCAGCCACAACTATTGAAGGAAAAGCTTTCGTTCCGGCAAAATCCTTCCTCTTGTAATTTGGTCAATTAGCACAGGACGACATGTACAGTAAACGAATGGTAATCCCTAGCAGCGGTTAAGAGTTTTGGTCGGCGTCAATTACATTTATATGACATAACTTCTTTTAGCCTCTAAAAAATACAGTTATGAACGGTGGGTTTACAGTTTTTCTTGATCTGCAAAATCGAATTTATTCTATCTGTGTACTGAACACGATTCCCAGGTTCTTGACTATTCTCCACATTTTGAATTCAGAAGAAGACTATATTGAAATGCCCAACTTAATTAAAAGGGAAAAATTAGCCAAAACTGTCGCAAAATATATTCTTGCTCATTAGTTTCTACTTTAATTTACAATTGATTTTGTTTAAACCTTTTTCTTTATTATGTTATCTATTTATCTTCCTTAGTCCTTGTCATTCATTCTTGGATAGTGTCAACTTATCTGTAAACTGTTTCAGCTCACTTTTTTAAATCTTTGTACATGTACTGTCTTGACCAAAACGCGTTACCAGACTAAGTAGGTAGAAAGGGGCTTTCAAGGGAAGCCCCTTCTCTTCCAAAGCCGCGAGACGCGGGCAGGATTCATACTAGATAAGAGGGCTTACTGGTAGGAGGATTTAATATTGGGAGTTAAGAAACGCTACCCATAACTAATTGCTCTTAGTCTTTGTAAGCCTGGTAAAACACCTCCACCTCGTGCGGCGTAAATTTGTAGGATCCTGCAAGCAGGGTCTGCGCTTTGCTTGTTCCGTATGTGTATCCCGTTATTTGGGCATAACTGTGACCCAAATTAGAGTACGAGTTAATGTTGGAGCTGGCACTATTGGCGATATAAAAATCATGTCCCCATGAATATAAACCTCATATCTTATACTATTTCTGGGTGGTATCTAGCAGGTGTTAAACCCAATCTTAACTATTTTGCTTAATATAAAAAGGGCAATAAAGTGTCTTGTGAGTCACCTGATCATATCGGTGTCGGTGTGAAAATAACTGTATTTATTATAGAGACGAGAGTGTTTAAGTGGAAAATAGACAACTGTACTCGTGAAGTTCATACGAAACCACATCCGGGACTTGAGTACCGTATTTTCCATATCCTCAGTAGTGAGGATATCGATGACGTCATTTACCTCATTTTTTTGTTTGTGTTCAATTTATTAATGGCGAGCGATAAAGTTCGTAAAGTTAACTGAAGTTGACATAAAGTCTTTCTCTAAGGAACAAGAGAACGAAGGACGAAAGGAGAGAACGTCAAGAAATTCCTGCCGCCGAACTAACATCAGATCGCGATAAAGATTGTGATAGGAGTGAGACGCCAACAAGGTTTTTACTTTCATCTATATCTTTGGAAAGTTTACCTTTTCACTGCCAATTTTGAAATTCAAAAGTTTAAAATATATTTCAACTTTGAATTAAATTCCAGTCTTTTTTCTACGCTCTTTCCCGAAATATTGTTTTCACCACTCGAAAATAGAATTCATATCTTCGATCACGCCGCCGTGTAATATCCTTTAAGCATCAACTTATTACAATGTATAAGAAAATTTGACCAATATCGGGCAACCTTTGACTTGGTTAATAACGTATCTGTAGCTTTAGTTGTGATACCGGAGACATATTTATCGAAGGTCCAGATAATAACCGGGCCGCGAAATATGTTTCATATTTGCTGTGTATTTATTCAAGATCGAGGTTGTAATAGTTTTGAAAATGACTTTTAAAAAACGACAATTGAAATTTAGATAAAGAAAGAATTTGGGCTGGTTAGGAGTTTAAAAGCAACACTAACATTCTTTGGATTTTGACATTAAAATATGGTCTCGGGCCCGCCGGCTACCGGGACTTTCAAGAAACGGGCCCTTGGTAATTTGTTTTTTTTCCTCAGTTAAAACAGCTGTGGGTCAGTATTTTGGTTAGATCGGCTGAATGGCAGACTTGAGTTCTCGCGCGCATACTCACCTGATAAGACTGACTTCCGCATTTACTCGATTAACCGCCGTGGCGTTTATTGGTTTTTTTTTTTACAGAAACATATGGTTTCCGCATGGGCGTTTATTAAAGGGCGGCGTTTTTTTTCACTAGTACTTGTTAAATTTTGTAACCCAGTATTATGTGAAAGGAACGGATAGAGAATGAGTGGTTTAAACTGTCCCAATGTCTCGCTCTTTTTCTGAGCCTGATAGACTCGTAATTTTCTGCTAAATGGTGTAGATTACCGAGTTTTCTTAAAATCCTCGAATAAATGCAGCATTCTTATACCTGGGTGCGGTGTTTAATCGAGTAAATACAGTACTTTATTTTAAGGGGCTGCGGAAGTGATGAATGGATACCGGATAGCGGGTTTACAGGGAACTGTTTTTAGTCACTTAATAGGATTTTTTCAGCAATTACCTGAAGTGAGTCATTATTTTATTCAAAGAAGAAAACGGAAAAAGAGAAAAACCGATGATTGAAGTGATTGAAGAATCGTTTACTACAACTTTAAAGAAAATTTCAAATTCATTATCCTTTTATCTAGGATTAAAGTCCACAGGTCATTGTTCGAACGCAACGAGAAAGCCTAGTCACCAAGGTTTGCTGCGCGTTCTAATGCTGTAGTGTTTTAGAACGATTCTTGTCTTACAAATTGTTTAGATGAGTTTGGCCATAGGCTCTTCCTGCAAGGCGATAGCCCATGATAGGCAGTTCTAAACGCCTCCTCGACCGCTTTAAAGGATTTATTTTTTGTCATTGTTAGTCATGACGATAAATGCGACATCCTTCTCATTCACTACCTAGCGTGAAATTTTCTTTACCTTTGTATGTTTCTACAAAAAGCTTTCAAAAGTGATAAAACAAGGTTAGCAGTAGAAATATTGTAGTTTTAAACGACATAAGTTCGTCAAAACACGACAAAACTTGTCGTCACTCAGAAGAGACAAAAGTTTAACCCTAATGTTATCACGCTTTTTCCCTTTTCCCCCTTCCTAAGACCGGGGAACGTCGGAGGTTCCCCTCTATAACTTTTAAACAGATCCTGACACACAACCACCAAAATTTCCCCTAATAATCTACTCAACCTTTTTTAACATCTAGTGATACCTAGAAGTTTTTAAAACGTTTTAAAATGTTCTTAGATTATTTTTAGAAATATTTGCTAAGTTTCATTTCATAGTTTGATTGATTTTGAAGATATTCAAAGATATTCCTGGGTCCCAATAAGGTAAATTAGAGCGATTTTCGTATGACCTTGAAATGAAAACGCGCGAACAAAACAACAAACGAACGGAAATAGAGCGCTTTGATTGGTTTATCGAACGGAGACAAACGCGCGTGTGTTTTGGTTGGTTAACCGAACGCTCGGGTGAAAAAACTTCATGCCCGATAATTTTCTAGAAATCAATCGATACTTCACTTTGACTTCATACTGCTTCAAAACGATTGGCCAATCGAACAATGCCTTCTTCTTTGGCGGGAAAACAAAGAGCCCATGTTTTGGTCTTTTTATCCATTGGCAAGGTCATGCGAAAATCGCTCTAAGCAAATTGAAACAACTCTGTCAATTAGTTTCTATAAAGAACTAAAGAAATAACGAGCAATTTTTTTCCCTATGTCAATTTTTTCTGTAGCTAAGCTTGATTTTTTCCTTTTTTGATTAAGGTAACTGTCGCTCACCTGGTGACTTAAGTCATGGTCTTAAAATCGGTAATAACTACACACACGGAAAAACAGTTCGATACTCTTGTAACTTTGGGTACACACTTGAAGGCGAGGCTGAACTGACTTGTGTAGATGGAAGATGGAACACTGCCACTCCCAAGTGTAAAGGTTAGCGTTCATTCTTGTTTTCTAAAATAAAAGCTTGTGTTGATTTTGGAGGTAAAGCGGGTTGTCTTATTTGCAACATTTCAAATTTCGTTGCAGATTTTTTAATGGTTGCAAAATGAATTACATAGCCCGCAACTTTGAACCGTTAAAACAAGAATTAGCTCGTGTGCGTCTATTCAAGTTGCAGTTACTTAATACCCTGCAATCTTTATTTCTTCTTTTATTGTATTGTATGTAAACGACAAAGGCTAAAAATTAACGACCCTGTAATTATTACTATAGCTGTTGAGTGTGGTGATCCTGGCAAACCAACAAATGGAAAGCAGATTGTCAGAAAGGGCTACGTCTATGGCGGATCAGTCAAGTTTGTTTGCGACGAGAATTACACTGTAGTGGGAGCTGATGTTATGTTTTGTCAAGCTAATAAGAGTTGGAGTTCTTCTGTTCCACGCTGCGTGGGTAAGTAC